ATCAGTAACTGGGAAATTCATCTGCATTCTTTTATACAGGGTGACCCACCGGGAACGCCGCGATCGATATCTGTCAAATTATAATTAGGGGATATTTCAAAATTAGACCGTGTGTCAAAATCATTGGGGACAAGCGAACTAAAATATTTTCAAGATGGCAGCACTTCCGGTTATACCTACATACATACTACTACATGCTACTATACTATATATGTTACTACATTTTTTAATTCTACTACAAATTCTAAATATATTTTATTTATAATATTGTAACGGAATAGGCCTGGGGTACTCACCTTTGAAATGGGGGATCGAAATTCATGGTATTTCAGTAAATGGAAGCCCCATTTGCGCTCCATTTACTGTCAAATATGACACTGATAAGCGTGAAATTTCGCACCTGGGCTGGATATTTCGAGAACCGTCTGTGTTACCTGTAGGAGACTATATAAGCGGCGACGAGAACGACAGAAAAAAAAGTGACAGCAGCTACTGGGTGCAGAAGAGGTTAAACTCCGCGAGTCGGAAGAGCGAGTTTTCCGTTTGTTACTGTTATTGTTTGTGAAGTTGACGGTAATTTTGAAGTTAGTTTGTTTCTGTGCCGCATTTAAAGTTATACCGAGTTGAATAAAAGTTGGAAGCTGAAGAAAGAGTTTGATACCCGGCCATCCACGGTACAATATTCTATATCTAAATCTAACAGTTTTTGATATATTTGAAATTTTATGTAAAAAATGACAATTGCAGCTACTCGAATAATTCCTGCTTTTCTTATAAGGAAATATGTTTTACTTAATTTGAGTCGCATTTCTTGCTAAAAAACTTTCTTTAATGGAATTTCGACAAAATTTTGATATCTAACTATTAATACAAAGTGTTAAAAAATATACATCAAAATGACGTTGAGAAAAACGCCCAAAATCAATTTTTCCAAATGGAAACCCCATAAGGGTGAGTTTGTGTAAAGTTTTCTATTCCAAAAATGTTCAATTCTTATTTTAAATACTGTCACTCGTAGTTGTCATCACGAAAGTGACCAATTTAAACAATGAAATACCAAAGGAATGCTAACAGCTGTCAGATATTCATTGAACATAATTAATAATTATCCCCGGACGCTTAAATAATACAAACGCAGATTATTTAAACTTATTTATTATTTAGGGATTTTTTATCCTGAATAAATTACAGTGATAATATACGGGGGTGCTATTGAAAGTAACATTTATGAGCTTTAAAATACGTTAATTTGGTTGATTATTATGGCCGCTTATATTTTAAAGTACACACATTTAGCAAATCAGATGTTGACATAGTATTAGTCCTGTCTCCTGCCCAATTTCAAACACCAAGAAAATACAAATTTTCAAAGTTAAAGCCAAACAACTGAAAACTATCCAATTCTCGTTAATATTTTATAAAACAACAATTTATATCTACATAGGAATTTTAAAATGAAATAAAATACAGCATGTTCCTTTTCAACAGAAATTGTTTTCTGAGTTGCAACTTTTCTTACACACTGTATAATTGTAAATATTTTTATAATAAGTAAGCGGGTTAAATATTTTTACAATATGAAGACGAGGATGAGTCTCGAGGAAGTGAATTTTGCCTTATCTCGACTGAGACTCGGTAAAGCCCCCAGCGTTGACAAAAGCTTCCCTGAATTTCTTAAAACCCCTGGATTTGTTGAACAGGGCAGAGATTCTAAACATCTTTAGAAAATCGATACTTCCCCTCGAGAAAACCCTCAGAGAATACTACAGACCAGCTACAGACCTAGTAGCTCTATTATCTATGTGCTATAAAGTCCACATTGAACAGGCCGGATTCAAAACGGATAGAAACTGCTGCAACCAACTGTGGGCCCTAAGTATCCATATCGAAACGGGGTTTCAGAAGGCTCGCAAGAGCTGTACCGCATTCATCGATCTGTCGTCTGCGTATGACACTGTTTGGAGAAAGGGGATGATCTACAAACCACTGAAAGTCATCCTTTGTTGTAAAATAACCAAGCTCGTAAAATCCTTGGTGAGCAACAGAAGAGTTGTGGTGGAAATAGATGCTAATACAAGTCGCCCAAGAACTATTAAAAACGGGCTCCCCCAGGGATCTGTGCTGGCAACAATCGTGAACTTATTATTCACCAGGATATAACGGGATCCCCTCGCCTAAGACTCAAGTCGAAGTCACCAATGTGGTCAGACAATCGCATAAACGGCCCAATTGATGTCAAGATCTGAGTGAAATCAATACTTTAATGACCATCATAGCTTCAAGAACCAGGACACCATCGTGGATCTGTCTGTTCAGCTTTCGGGTATGGATTTTTCTAAAAGGACTTGGAGCGTGCTCACAGGTTCAGGACGGGACACGGCGGATGCGATGACATGCACTTCAAATGGGGATGGATAGATTCCACATCAAGTGACTGTGGGGAAACCCGACAAACCATGGGATACATACTCAACTCGTGCCCACTTAGGAGATTGGAGGGTGACTTGGAAGAACTAAATACGCCAAACTCTAGATATCGATGTGTGACTGCATTTATACCTTATGGATTTTGTTGTATTTGTTTTAATGACTGCACTTCGTTCGTTTGAATTTGTTGTGATTGGTTCGTTCTTTTATTGTCACTTGGCGATTGAGCCCTTCATACGCAGTATCAATACGATGAGGATTTTGAAAGAAATGGTACCGGTTCAGCGTAAGCTTATTTTTCTCTATTGTTGGGACATTCTGTATGTATTATTCTATTACGTTGTATTAATTAATTTAATTTGCTTTGCTAAAAATGGTTTACTCATGTAGTTTCAATTTTAATTGATTTATTTGCTTCTAGGTCAAGAAAAGTCTTTTGACTCCGGTGTGTCGTTATCTCTGGCTTTATGGGGTAGATCGGAAGCTCTTTTGAAACTAGGCAGTTACTCTAATGCGATAGTAGATGTACAACAAGCTCTAAAAGAGAATTTGCCTGGCTCTTACAAAGCTCAGGCCTTCTGGAGAATGGCCAAATGTTACGCAGCCTTAGGTGAGGAAAGCAGATCTAAAGTATCGTTTGACTTGACAGAGAAACTATTGGAAGGAAATCAGGAAAAAATTGAACAACTTAATGCAGATAGGCTACATTATCAACATCATTCAACAGTGACCCAAGTCATCACCGACAAGGGTTAGATTTTTGCTTGTTTTAAAAAATAGGTTTTTTTTCAATTTTATATGTCATACTTAGCTAAATTTTACTTTAAGGAGACGCTGATCAAAAGCAGTTATACGCAAGCAACAAATTAACAGTAAAAATGTCAAAATCAATGGGAAGGTATATTGTAGCTAATGAGAGGATCGAGCCGGATGAGACATTGTTAGTAGAATCTCCATATGCAGCCTGTTTGCTTCCGGAATTTTTTGGTTCCCATTGTCACCACTGCTTTACAAGGTGACAATAAATCAACATCAACCTATCAAAACCGTACACTTGTTAGCACAATCGATAGCTTGTTGGACTACATGTCCAACAAGTTATCTATCGTTATTAAAGCTAAGCGCAAATTGAGTATTTCAAGAATTGGGAAGAGTTCCATGGCAATCAAACTGTCATGCTCGGAAATTACTAACGCCGAATACAATTTTTACTCGTTATTGAGTCCATTTTCACTAAATGAGACGGGCAATTATGTAAATAGGCATACATATAAAGTTACCCTTGTTTATTATCATAACATTTTAACCCTTTACTGCATACCGAGTCAAATATGATACAAACCAAAATTGTAATTTTTTCTAAGTCTTAAAGTGAAAATAAAGTAAAACTGCATGGCGCGTCACATCTGGGATCGATACATAAATGCGTATATGCCGTATTTCTACAATCGCGCAAACCGTACCGCCATTTTAGGCACATTGAACTGACAACTAGTTTGATGTCGCATTTCATACCATTTAGCTACTTTTCCATGGTGTGTTTATG